GCACGTCTGGGAAGCCCTCCAAGGACCACGCGGAAGCGTTCAAGAGCCTCTGAGTCGAGCCCCTTCAGTGGGAGTTCAAGGATGGCTGCACCAGAATGCCAAGGTAGCTTTTTGGCTGCCCCTCACGGGGTCTGTGGTGAGCCTTCACTCCCGAAACGGAGTGGGTAGAAGAGGCTAAGAGTGGGGCATGGCTGCCAGTCGTGGGTTTGGACCAGGGCCCCTCACTCTGGTAGATGGCAAACCCCGTGTCCCTCTGTTGTGAAGTGGAGTCTATCCCTGCACCCCCTTACCCCTGAGCTTGACCAAGTGACTTGCTGTGGCCAGAGGGACATAACGTAACAGTCGTGAGCATGGCAAGGCATGAAAAGTGCCCAAGCACTGGGGCTCACGTGCTCTTGCCACTGGGGTCACTTTGCCACCACGAGAATGAACCATGTCAGCCTGCTGCACCGGACCCCAGCTGGCACCAAACAACTCCACAGACATGTGGCCTTTGGACCCACTGGCTTCAGCTGAGCAAGGCCAGACCTCAAATCCTGTCCTGGAACCCCCAAAGCCATGAGAAATAATAAGCAATGTTGTTTTGAGTCCCTACATTTCAGAGTGGTTTGTTATGCAGCAAGAGCTGACTGATACACTTCCCATTTGTAGCCAGACGGTTGACACTGCAGGTTTGAGTTTGCCCAGGCAAACACTTTGTCTTCCCGGATCTGTACCTTCCTGTCCATCTCTCCTTCTAACGACCCTGCTGCCAGCCGTCCCCTGCGAGTCCCCTGCGCCCGGTGCCCTGGTCCTCCCACAGAGGCCCTGCTGTCCCTCCCTGCATCTGCACTGGGCTCTGAGTCTGCCGTTCTCCCGCCTCACGGGGGTCCGCCCTTTGCCTTCCTCGGATCCTGGCTTGTTTGAGGAAGCCTGACGGAGAGGAGGCATCTGCGAAGAGCTGAGTTGCCACCCTGAGCGGGTAAGAGTGCGCATGAGCGATGGCCTCGGCAGGGATGCCAGGCCCTCGGAGAGAGAGACGGGCTCCTGAGGGGCCTGCTGTCGATGGAGAGCGGAGAGCGGACATCGTGCTGATGGCTGGGCATGCACGGCGACGGGAGGGGCAGAGAGGGACGGACGGGAAAGCTAATACTGAGGGCACAGGGGGTTGAGTTGTGTCCCCGCCCCCCCCCCCGGGAAATTTCATAACCACTTGCACCTGTGAATGTGACTTTCTCTGGAAATAGGGTCTTTGCAGAATAGTAAGTTAGGCTGAGGTCACCCTGAGGTGGGTGGGGCCCTGATCCAGTGACTGATGTCCCCATAGCAGAGGGACATGTGGACACAGAGGCACATGGGGAGGAGGGCCACGTGGCAGCCGAGGCAGAGATTGGGGTGACCCAGCCACAAGCCAAGGGACGCTGATGACCATGGGCAGCGCCGGAATCAGGAGGAGGCAAGGAAAGGGCCACAGTGCGCCCGCCCCGCCCACACCTCCTGAACTGTGGGAGAATCAGTGCTTGTGGTTTTCAGCCACCAAGCTTGTGGTGCTCTGCTGTGGCCTCCACGGGACACTCCATAGAAGGTGGGCAGTTCTCACGGCTGGTGAGTGGAGAAAAATCCAGAAGGGTTCAAGCCAGACTCTGCAGACAGAACAGGTGGCCTCTGGGTGGCCGTTCGTGGAGACGGCAGTCATGGGCCGGCCCAGGAGGGAGGGGCAGCTTTCCCCGGGAGACGGGCGGGGCTTCTGTTCAGGACGGATGGGCCTGCGTGGGCGGTGGGCGGGACCCATCTAAACAGAAGGGACATTTCCCTGTGGCCCCAGTGAAGTGTGGTCTGCGCTGCGTGGATCGAGTGGGCAGGCAGCCTTGGCCCGTGGAGCTAACGGGCGTTTCCGTGGCCGTGGCAGTCGGGTGTACGTGGACAGCCGCTTCCTCCGGGCCCACCGGCCCCCAGGGGACACACACTAGTTGCTGAATCTCTGGGCGTCACCCAGCAGCATGAGGACACACAGGCCCATCCGCCAGCCACAGCTGCTTCGTGTCTCCTTCCATTACGTTCTGACCGACACGTAACATTTTGAGTTTCCTGTAAAATAACTCACAGAGAACAGCAGAAATCAGGCGGGAGTTCCCACTGCCATGGGTAAACGCCGGAGTCCGCAGGAGGGTCCGTGGCCTGGCTCGCTGCCCCGTCCCTCTCTCGCACACCTGTCCCTTTCTCCCGTAACAAAGCACACATGTTCCTTGCACATCAGGTGTGGGGTCCGGGCCAGGCACGAGCGTGCCGTCTTGCCAGCTTTTCAGCTTCCTCTCCCAGCTGGGAGCGGGCCAGGTGAGCCACGGGCACGCACATGCCCATAAGCGTGCCTGCACACACCCCTGGCTGGAGTGCACGCACCTGCGAGAGAATCCTAGTCCCCGCCGCACACACACTCACACACACACTCACACACACACACACACTCACACACATGTATTGCGGTATGGTGTCTTCCTCTTAGACGATTCCTTCGGGCAGCGACTGCAAACGCAGACTCACTCATTAGTGGGCAGGTGTCTGAGTTCCTAGCATGCACATCACCAGGGTGGTCCCCAAGGTGCACGGGGCCCTGGGAGGTCATTTTGTGCAGGGCGTCTGCCTTTATAAACCATTCAAGTCGCCCCCAAACCAGCTTCGGGGCTGCTGGGGCCTCATCCGGAGCCGGGCTCCTGGGATCCGAGCCAGGGACGGCTGGTGCCCAGCTGGGCCCAGTCGGCGGCAGGTGAGGCGCACTCAGTGGTGACCGCAGGTGGACACCCCCCTTATTCTCACAAGTGACCTCCAGGGCCAGCCGGACCTAGGCTTGCACGGCCCCTCAGGCTGCCCCCCAGTACCTCCCACTCTTCCTGGATGGCACGGGGGTCTCCCTCACGGGGCTCTGGGCTCCCTGTGTGGCCCTTCTGCACAGCCGCGCTCTGCGAGGCCTGCCGCCCAGGCCCCACCTTGCCCTCGGCTCACTGATCACCTGGCGCCCCTCACTTCATGCCCCAAGTTCACAAGCTTGTCACCTGTCCTGGCTGCAGGGGCTTCTGGCACAGCATCTGACCTTTGCTGGGGGGGGCGGGTGGAGGGCACCGGGCGGGAGCCGGGGGGGAGAGGGTCACAGACTTTGGTGCAGGGGCTGTAGTGCAGAGGCATCGGGGTGCTGCTGGGCTTGCGTGTAGTGTAGCCGGGTTGCCCTGTGCACTGGCTTCAGCCGCACTGAAATGAAACCCAAAACTGTGAAGAGATACAGAACCGCAGCACCTGTTCATACAGAACTGGATTCAAGAAGAGACGGAAAACATCACAGCCCAGAAACGAATTATTCAGAGGTGGAAAAGAATATTCCAGAATTCACCAAGGGGGAGGGAGTGCTCCCAGGAGACTCAGCAGCAGTGGCTGAAGCGTCCACGGGCTCGGATCACACGGGTGGCCTTGCAGGGCAGTTCTCCTGAGCGGGTGCAGAGAAGGGGCCGGCGGCCCTGGGGAACATCGGGGTGCAAACGCTCCCGAGGGGCCGAGGGAGAGCTTGACCGCCCACCAGCCAGGGTTGGTCTCCCTTAATGGGCACAGGGGCCCCCAGATTGTCCCCAATGCTGGTCCCTCAAACAGAGGCAGGAGGAAAGGACAGCCGCCCCCCCGAGATGTGCTGTGTACAGTCTGCTGACTGAAGTGGTAAATTCCTCCCTGTAAACGGGCACCAGCCCGGGGACTGTTCACCCCTGCATGTGACCGAGCTGCCTCCGGCCCGGCACCTCCCCCCCCACAGCCACCAACGTCCCCTCGCTGCTCACAAATGGGACACGCAGACGGCCTTGTGCTCCGGGCACCGCCTGGCATTTAATTCTGAATTTACAGGGGAGGGAGTGTCACATCACACTGCGCAGGCGCACCTGCGAGAAAAGCACAGTCCCGTCTCCCCCCGAGAGGTCGGGGGGCTCTAGGGACCCCCAGAAGCAGCCCCGGGATACACAACACCACGAAGAAAAAGTACAGTACCAGTTTCTGTATAAGAATATATTATTTAAAAGACCGTTTAAAAATAAAAATTCTGTACAGCATCATGAATTCTGTTTTTCTATTTTTTTTTTTTGTATCGGTGAACAAAACAGTTAAGCAGTTCTTAGAAAGCATGGCCTCGTGGAGTCTGGTGCTGAGAGAGGACTTTTCTCCCCCGCACGACGGCTGCGCGAGGCTCGGCCAGCCTGGTCCGGGACCGCGGCCCGCACAGTCCGCCTTCTTCAGGCGCCGTCTGCTCGGAAGAGGAAGAAGAGCCCTGGTTTGTTTTTGTTGCGGTTGAACATGTCCAGGCAGCGGCAACAGCGTCACGGGAGGAAACACAGATATGTTTCAGAGCGGGACACGTGCTTCAACACATTTCGGCCACATAAAACCATTCTGATCCTTCTTCTGAACCATTAAAAAATAAGATGTGACTGAAACAGGCAAAGCCAATGCTTCCTGAGCACTGCTGATGAACCGGTAACGGGATTATCATCTCAAGGCTGGAGATGAGGGCTCCGAGGCTCAGAGAGGTTGAGACGCTTGTGTGGGTCACTCAGCTTGTACTTAGCTGCGCTCGGTTTCTCAGACGCCAGAGCCTGGCACTGCTCCTCTGCGCAAAACAAGACCCAGGCTCCCACACCCTGCGCCCGGGATGCTTTGTACTGAGAATCTCTCCAGCGGTCCCTTAGACGTGCGTGTGCCGTGACCTTACCACGCGGAGGCAAAATGAGCTTGGGTTACCTTTGACACGGGCTAAACGAATAGCTTGGGTCAGGCACGTGCGAAAATGCTCACGGCCATGTAAGGAAATACTTTATTTTTGGAAACCTTTTAAAATGTGCTTTTCCTGGGGCGCCTGGGGGGCTCAGTCGGTTAAGCGTCCTACTTCGGCTCAGGTCATGATCTCATGGTTTGTGGGTTCAAGCCCCGCGTCGGGCTCTGTGCTGACAGCTCAGAGCCCGGAGCCAGCTTCGGATTCTGTGTCTTCCTCTCTCTCTGCCTCTCCTCTGCTCGTCCTCTGTCTGTCTCTCAAAAACAAACAAACATTAAAAAAAATTATAAATGTGCTTTTCTTTATAAGTGGAACATCTGCTAATTATTGGTCTTTTGCTATCGACCCAAGCGTGGCCCCCTTTTTTCAGAGCCTAATTCTAAGAATTATATGCAAGGAGTAAAAGTCTCACTTTACTGAAAAACCAACCATCTTTTAGGGGTGCCTCGGTGGCTCAGTCGGTTAAGTGTCCGACTCTTGATTTTGGCTCAGGTCATGATCTCAGGGTTTGTGAGTTCAAGCCCGCATCTGGTTCTGTGCTGATGGCTTGGAGCCTGCTTGGGATTCCCTCTCTCTCTGCCCCTCCCCCACTTATGCGTGTGCTCTCACTCTCAAAATAAATAAAAAACATTTAAAAAATCTTAAAAAACCCCATCAGTCTAGGGGCGCCTGGGTGGCTCAGTCAGTTAAGCATCCAACTTTGGCTCAAGTCATGATCTTGTGGTTCATAGGTTCAAGCCCCGCATCGGGCTCTGTGCTGACAGCTCAGAGCCTGGAGCTGCTTTGGATTCTGTGTCTCCCTCTCTGCCCCTCCCCCACTCATGCTCTAGGTCTCTCTCTCTTGCTCAAGAATGAATAAAAAAAAATTTTAAAAAATATACATAAGAAACCATCAGTCTTTCAGCTTTTCTGGCCCAGCCGCCTTCTCCCCTCCCCCTCGCACAGGTGTGCAGCGCTGCCCTGTCTCCATCTCTGAGTTACCACGTGCATCGAGACGTCAGTTCAGAATAGCATTCTCTTCGCTGTCTCTCACATCTCTGCTTGTCTCCCTCGACGACCTGTCGGTGCCCGCGGCTGTCATGCTCTCCGTCTCCCTCTGTGACCGGGACAGAGTACAAGGAAGGCGGCAGTCAGCTTCCAGGAGCCGTGAGGACCGGCTTGTCCGCCAGCGTGCTTCCCGCTGACCGAAATGCAAGGATGAGCGATGAGGCAGAGGCCCACGCCACGTGCCGGCTCTGTGCGCGCCCTGCCCTGCCCTGGGCGCCTCCCCTTCGCGGCTTGGACAACGAGCTCGTGGTGGCGGTGGCGCCCAGTGCGCCGGTGGAGGTGAGCACGGAGCCTGTCCACCCTCTCTCGTTCGGGGTCTGTCCTTTCTGGAGGCGGGAAAGCCCCTCAGGGCGGCGGGCCTGGGACCTTCAGAGCGATGGCTTCAGTGGGGCCAGGAGCGCCAGGGGGCTTTAGCGATGCGGCCCCGCCGGGCACGCCCGCTCTGACATCGCTCCTGTACGGTTGGCTCTGGGGTCTCAGGGCCTCTCCGGGACCTTCTAGTGAAGGGATCCCCGTAGAGACCAGGCTGGAGATGAGGGCTTGGAAGGCACTTCCTGAGCGCTGACAACACGCCCAGCGTCCTACACAGACCAGTTCGGGGGATAGAGCAACCACTCGGCGCTCAGTGGGGCAGGATATGGGGGTTCCCAGCAGCGGGTGGGGGGGCCCATAACCCAGAGCCCTGACTGAAGGGAGCTGGGGATGGCACCGGGCGGGGTGCGTGACGCTGGCCGAGGCCGGGACAAAGCGCGGGACGCTGGAGAGGAGGTGGTGGGCGGCTGAGAGGGGCACGCCCCGGGCGGCTGGACGCAGTGGAGGGCTCGGGGGTCCCCGAAGCAGAGATGTGCACACGCTGAGACCCTGGGGTCAGGCCCCTCACGCGCTCTGCAGAGAGCCTCCGCGCCGGCTCTGTGGTCCTGTCCTGACAGCGGCCTGGGGCCAGACTCCGTGTCCCTGACCCTGAGGGGGCCAGGCCGCCGCGTGTGCGAGCTCCAGGACGCCCTTCCTGTGGCGCTGGGGGCGCCTCCTTCCGCCACCCCCTCACTGAGCAGGGTCAGCCCCGGGGCTGGAGGACAGGGACCTCCATGGGGCCAGGGCGCTGCTCCGCGCGGGTCTGAGAGGCCCAGACGGCCCGGCGCACCCGATTACAGCACAGCTGTTGGGGGCCACATGGCCCCTCCAAGGGGCGCGGGCTGTCGGGTGCTGTTTGGTTTTGGGGTGGAAATGAGCTGCGGTGCAGAGGGTCCCCGCAGGGGTGCCGGGCTCGGCCTGTCCCCCGGGAGGGCCATGTTTCCTACCCGGCACCCTTACCTCCTTCATGGAGTCATCTCTCTGCTTCAGTTCCTCATAATGATCTCTGGATTCCCAAAGGGGCTGCAGCATGAGCCCCTCGACCACGGGGAAGAGCTGGGAGACACAAGCAGACCCGTCTGGTCGGTCATTCCGCGCGGCCGCCAGCGTCCGGGAAGCCCGGGGTCAGTCCTGTGCGCCTCGGCGGATCAGGCAGCGAGTCCCCTTCACCCCGTGGTGCCTGCTGAGCCCGGTCCCTGGCGTCCGCCCGCGCTCCCGCCACCCTGCCGCCCTGGCCCCACGGAGCCCTGGGCACGCTGCTCTCGCCCCGTGACGCCTTCCGTGCCTCCCCAGTCACATCCCCATTCAGCTGCGGGGGGTGGGGGGGCCGGCCCCGTGTGGCAGGGCCGCGCCCCTGCACCCGCTGGCCATGGCGAAGGCCCAGAAGTCCGTGGAAGGAGTGTACGGGACGGCCGAGGAAGCAGGGGTGAATGGGGTTTAAGGGAGGGTGTGCTGCGGCCGAGGCCTGCTGAGGGACACACTCCGAGGTGGAGGCTGGAGAAAGGGGAGGGCCAGGGGCCGTGGGCCGTCCTGCAGGACCGGGCGCCAGGCAGGGTGGGGGACTGTGTGCAGCGAGGGCAGCTTTCCCTGTGTTGGGGGCAGTGGGGAGCCATGCCATGGAAGGTTCAGGAGAGAGGGAGAGATAGTCTCCTTGCCGAAATCAGCCTGGGGACAGCCTTGTGCCGTGGGGGTGGGGCAGGTCACAAGGGTCTTCCAAAGGCAAAGGTGCCCTGGGAGGGGAGGCTGGAGGGCTGGGGGGGACCCCATGGGGGAGCGAGATGGTGTTCTGGACGTGCCGGAGGCGGCAGCCACAGCACACTGGTGTGTGTGTGTGAACGTGTGCACGCATGTGTGAATGTGTGCACACGTGTGTGTTCCTCAATGCGGCGCCATCCAGCACGTGGTGACAGCCACTCACCTTGGTCACCGTTTCGAACATCGGGATCAGGACGAACTTGATGAACCCAATTTGGGCTGTGGCTTTGGTCACTTTGTCGCGGTCCATGAAAGGGGCCACGGGGAGGCCTTCCGACTTCTCACGATCGCTCTGCGGGGATGCAAGAGACCGAGATGCTAGAGAAGCCGCGGAATCTGGGGGGCCCCGAGGGTCACTGGTCTCAGAGGGCAGAAGGCAGGTTCATGTGTCGCTGACCAGACCGCACTGTCGTGGGGACGTGGATAGTGACCATGATGGATGGCAGGAGCTTACATGCCCCCTAGAGCGTTCACTGGGCGTGCAGGGCTGCGCCGTGACCCCAGGGCAGAGGGACAGGCGCCGGCCGGCGAGTCCCCCGCCTTCTGGGGCACCACGCTGCCGTCACGAGTGCCTTACTGGCCCTCCCGGCATCTCCCGCGTGGGTGGCCTGGTTTCCTGTCTGAGGGCCCCCCCAGGCCTTGAAGTGCAGGGGCCCCGGGGAGCCGCCCCTCCAGCCTCTGCTTCTTCCCTTTCAGGACATTTGCCCGATGCGGCCGCCCCCTCGCTGCTCCTTCACGGTCCTGGGTGGCATCTGTCACGTCACTTTTCCAGGCTATCCCTGCCTTTCACGTGTCACCCGCTTATCTTGGATGTGCACCTGCCGTGAGGCTTTCCGGAGGCTGGAGAGACGGTCCGCTCCCGTCCCCCAGTCCCCGGGCTCGCCCACCCCATTTCCAACACGGGCCCCTCAGGGGGTCTGGTGGCTTGGGACGCTCTCACCTGCATGAAATACTCCTCTAACAGGCAGTCCACCCAGGGCTCTGCCACCTCCATCGGACGCACCTCGTTGGAGATGTCACAGCATTTTATCAAAATCATCTTCAGCTGAAGAAAGAGGAGGGATCAGGTGGCGGGGCCCGGGGTGCGTCCCCTGCCGCCATTTGGGTCTGGGCTTTGTCCTCCCGGGAGCCTGGCCCTCCGAGCCCGGTGAGGTTTGGGCACCCAGGGGACACGTTAGGACCCGGCCGGAGCGTTTGCTCCTGAGCCTGAGGGCGACCGCCTTCAGAGCCAGCGCGTGACCGTCCTCGGGCGTCACCCGGAGTCACCAACGTCCCGGGCCGGCGCTCAGCGTGTGAACTGGCTCAGCAGGACGTGCCCCCGGCACAGCAGCTCGGGCCGCGGGCCCTGAACGCCCCCGCCTCCCGCGCCCGCTTTCCTGACCCCTCGCTCCAAGGCGAGGTCAGGGTTTGGGTGCCTCGGTGTCGAGTATGGGCAGGAGCGTAGGGTGCGCGCACCAGTCCCCGGAGCGCGCGGGCAGCAGGCTACTCACGAGGGTCATGTGCTCCTCGTTGCTGTAGTCAAAATTCTCCATTTTTTCTTTGAAGGAATCCATAATTTCTGCGTGTCTTGCCATGTCGGTGGCTAGAATTAGAGTGATCATCCCCTGGAAAGCGAGAGCAAAGCGTCAGCCCCGGCCGTGATGCCAGCGAGGACCCGGCGAGTCCCCGGCGCTCGGCACGCAGCCTTCCCTGGGTCCCGGGCCCGCGCCACGTGTGCTCTGAGCATCACCGCCCTCATCCGCGAGAGGGCGGCGCTTCCTGTCCGTGCGGGCATCCAGACCCACGCTGTTTCCTTCACAAATCGGTCAATAACCGATTTCCCAGGAGCCTTTGTCCCCTGTCATCTGCACGTGACTCTGTGCGCACGTTGCGGGGGGCGGGGGGTCAAAGTCAGGTTGTATCCGACGGTGTCGCCTACTGACACATTTGTAAACGAGGAGGCAATGACTTCCTAACTATAAATATCTTATTTCCTCGTCAAGCAAATCCTGGTTTAGGAGAAGCAGCAGGATTCGAAACGGTGACCGTCCGGCCGTCCCTGAGATGCTAACGAGACACGCCGTGTGCCGCCCGGAGCCGTCTTCCCCTCAGCACCGCGCCGGCGCCAGTCCGCCCGGGGCGTCTGCGGAGAGGGCACCGCCGGCGGACTGAACTACGCGATTTCTCCGTAAAGATTTCTCTGGGTCGTGAAGGGTCCGCTCCCGTGACGAGTTACCCCTACAAGTACTCGACGACGAAGTATTATAAAAAATCAGGCTGAACGACTTCACGGTCAGGAAAAGTCTGTCTGACGTTAGTCAAGGGTTGGAGGGGGGACGAGTCTCGTGCGTCCCCGTGGCGGGCGGCGTGGGGGGGCGATGCCCTCCCTGGGGACGCTGCTGTGACTGCTCCCCGGGGGCAGGGCACACACACAGGGGACATAGTTGTACCGAATCCATGACTCGACGGGGACCATCCTGCAGCACCGGCCTCGGCTCTGGCAGAGAATAGCGGGCTCTGACGCAGGCCAGCCCGTCGGGTCTGCGGGAGGGAGAGCCCGGGTCCCGCGTCTTTATGCTGCGCCTTGAAGCGAGGCCCCGGCACCGGGGGGGGGGGGGGGGGGGGGAGACTGTCATCCGTGGGGCGGCGCCGCGAAGGTGGCTCCCTGCACGTGTGTCCTGAGGCCGCCGCACAGCGTCACCCGCCCGGTGACAGGGAAGCTCAGGGGACATTGTCTCACGTCCAGAGGCCAGAAGTCTGAAGGCTCTGGGGAAACGTCCTTCCCAACTTTTCCTGCTTCTGTGGCCCCAGTAGCCTCTTGACTTGGGTCCACGTCATTCCAGCCTCTGCCTCCATCTTTACGCGACTTTCCTCCGTGCATCTGTCTCCTCTGTTTCTTCCAAGGACGTCTGTCACTGGATGAGGCCTGCCTGGATGATGCCCGCTAGTCTCCTGCAGAGATCCTGACTTAACCACCTGTGCAAAGGCTCTTTTCCAAATAAAGTCACGTACAAAAGGTTCTGGGGATTAGGAAGTGAATGTGTAATTTTTTTTCTTTTTTTGCAGAACGGGACTACCATTCAACCCATACACTCCTGGAAGAGATCATTCTGGTATCTCCCCGCCACCCCCCCCAACAACATCAGAGGGTGTGCACGGAGCTGTGCTCAATGGGGGCCTCCGCGTGGGAGGGGCGTCGCCTCCAGCGAAGCAGAGTCTGTCTCAGGACAGGAGGGTGACGGGGCCTCCCCGGGGTCTCTTATGTGAAGTGGGTGGTGGGGCTGACCGGGTCGGGGTGGCGCAGGGGGAGGCAGCTGGGGGGCAGGGAAACAGTCTGCTAGGTTGGGTGCAGCAGGTGCATCTGTCCAGGGGCTGCACGTACTCGTGGCGCACCTCACCTCTGTAACCCCCACTCTCCTGGGCTGCAAGCTGCAGAAAGAATGGATCTTAACGGCTTCAGTGAAACAGCGGGTGTGAAATGCAGGTCAGTGGGGGGGTCCCGGGTATATATGCTGGGGGCACTCCTCTGCTTGGAATGCTACTGGCCTTGGTGAGGGGGGTTCCCCGGGACCCCTGGTGGGACCAGGGGCTTCTGGGGCCTTGGCCACTGGAGGGAGGGGTTCTACTCTCACCGCCCCCCACCCCCGCAGTCCGAGGGCCCTGGCCCCCGCACACCTGTCTGATCTGCTTGAAGCCCTCCGGCTGCACATTGGCGAAGATGTTGCACTCGGGCTGGGCGAGGATCTGAAAGGCCACGGCGCAGTGGTGGTTCTCCAGGGGCGAGATGTCGTTGTAACGGACGGCCAGCTCCGTGCGGGCGTTGATTTGGTACCTGGCGTAGGGGGAGACGGCAAATGGGGCCTCGGGGATGTGCGCTGGGACACGGCGGTGGCGCAGAGGCTGGCAGGCCAGCCGGGCGAGCTGGGGGCGCCAGGCCTTGCTCCTCTGGACTCTCCTCTCTGCTGCCCCTTCAACTAGACACCCTCAAGGTCTTATAACCCCAGTGGGCGGACGCCTCAATTCCTCCCAGTCGCGCTGCCCTGAAGGGGACCGGGCCTTCCGTTCTGGCACCTTGTGAACATTGTCGGGATGTACAAAAGGCAGACATTTGGGAGAAGGACCAAGGTGGGTTCTGAGGTCAGAGGCCGCGGGTAGGGCCCCTTTGCTGGCCTGCGCTCTGCATGCCATCCTGAGTGTGACATGAGGGAATGGGTGCCCGCGGCGCCGGCCTCCTGTGAGGGACACGGATGTCCACACCGTGGACCCCACCCCTGTCCTGATGAAGGCCTGCCACCAAAACCACTGGCGAGTTCTCGGCCACATGTGATGTCGCTGCGCATCCGCATCCGCTAGAAAGAACAGGTGCATCACCCTGGATGCAAACTAGGGCCACGCGGCCCGGACCCGGCAGTTACGTGGGGCGGACTCTGTGTCTCTGCCCCCGCCAAGCTCGGCCTGTCCTCCTGGCCCCCACGGCCTGCGCCGGACGCCCCCCAACCCCTGCTCGCCTGCACTCCTGTCCCTCAGTCCTAGCCTCTGCCTCGGTGCTGCTGGAAGCAGGCCGGGGGGTTCCAGAGAACAGGGCGTCATGTGCGGGCACTGCTCCTGCCTCGGGTGGAGGGGGTGGTTGGCGGCCTGGAAGGGTCCGCCCCGGGCGGCCTGAGGCCCTGGACAGAGCCCCAAAGCGGGAGCTGTGTCCTACGCAGCAGGGGGGGCGGGGGGCGGATGGTGAGGCCTTGGCCGCAGCTCCGACTCAGAACTGGTCTGCGGGGGAGGCGGGAAAGGTCACCTCTGACACCAGAGCGCCCCTGAGAAGGGAAGGACGGGGGGAAATCGCCTACGCACGTGTTGTTGTAGCCCGGGTGATCCAAATCGTGGCAGATGGCGGCCGTCATTAGGATCAGGATATCCATTTGGGAAAATTTCTCCTGGAGGAGAGAGAGGGCGGAAGGGGGTGAGGAGGGGGCTGGACTGGGCTGGGGGGGGTGACGCCCCCAGCGGCTGGCCCGCGGGGAGGGTGGCGCGCCTGCTGGGTGCAGGGGGCAGCAGGCTAGCCCGAGGACAAGGGGCGGGGTGCTGCCCCCCAGGGGGGCCCCGAGACACACCTGCAGCCCGCAGAGCCAGATCATGCTGTACATCATCTGGGTCACGCAGAAGCAGTGCCGGAAGTTGTGGAAAGGGTTGTGTCTGTAGTTGTCGCGCACGCAGAGCTGCGGAGACAGGGGTCCTGGCTGCTCGCACCGCTGCCAGCGTCCGCCCCGGGCTGCCCCCCACGCCTTTGCTCCTCCTTGGCCAGCGGGAGGCTAGTGTTTCGGACGCGCTCTGTGCGATCCTCGGCCGACCCCAAGGCCAGCTGTGTTCCTGCGCTTGCTGGAGGCAAGGGCGAGGTGGCCCGGGGGCCCCGAGGACGTCCATGGGCCACCCCGCGGCCTCGGAGGGCAGCTGGGAACAGGCTTCCGCCTGGGCTCGCGGACTGAGGTGTCCCCAGAGGGGCTCTGAGGGGCCACGTGGGGACATGAAGCCGGGGGAAGGGCTGGGGTTATGGGAGGGGCTCTGGGTCCCAGATACCATCACACCTTTTCATATTTTCCTATTTAACATTTAAGCTTTTCCTATTTGGTTCTGAGCATCATTTTGTTAAAAAGAATTTATTGCTAAACACACACTCGCACACGTACCTCCTCCACACATGCATTCACACACGTGCACACACATGCGCACCCACATGCTAACATACGTGCACACACGTGTGTACGTACCTGCACCTCCCCCCATAACACACACACACACCTGCACACACACCCGCACAGACTGCTTCACCGGCCTCTCCCTGGTTCTTACTCTGTCCTTGCTCCCCAGAGCAGGGGCTTAGGGGCGCCTCGTACTCTGGCAGGAGACAGACGGACAGCGGCCGCCTGTTCTCACAAAACCCTCCAGGAAGCGTCGCCTCCGTCCATCCATGAAGGTGCTCACTGGTCTGTCCCCGAGTAGCCGGAAGGGGCCGCGAGGGGCTCGCACTTACCAACCATCTCCGGAGCGTGACGGGGTGGATGGAGAAATCCCGGACCAGGCCCAGGTCGTGGTACATGTGCTCCAAGCAGCTCAGCATCTGGGGGGACAGGGGCACAAGGTGGTCAGAGGCACAGGTGAGCCAGCCCGGCACTGCCCCTCCGGCGCCCTGGGAGATGTGTGCAGGGCCAGCCGGGAGTCCTCCAGGCCTGTGCTCAGAGGATGAACTCTCCCTTCCCGGGAGGCCCCGAGGGACAAGCCGTGTTGACTGGGTCTCAGGACCCCTAGGAGGCATGTGGGGGCTTCAAGGAGCAGTCGGGTGGGAAGTCCAGGGAGTTCCAGGCGAGAAGGGACAGGGATCAGGTGAGAGAAGCACCCCCAGGCGCCCATGTCAGCAGCGATCGGGTGGGAGGGAGCACCCCCAGACAGCCATTCAGCAGTGATGCTGTGGACCTCGGCACACAGAAACTGTCTCATACCAAGCTGGAGACAGACCCACTGGACACAGACCCCAGAGCGGGTGCGGGTGCAGACACGGGGGCCTGAGCCTTGATGGCCTGAGTGCCACGCATGCTCCGTTTCGCCCCTTGTGGGGGGCCCTGGGACCGCACGCACATTTTAACGTGTTAATCATAGGGTCTGGAGAGTGAGCCCCCCGGCCCGACGCCACCTCACTGAGCTATCTTCTACAGAAATCTCAGGTTGGAAAAAATCTGTTCCCAGTCCCGGGGAGGATTTACTGTCATCCCTGCGATCTATTTAAATACAGCTCAGGGCTCAGGAGCTCACGAAGCCGGGAGCAAAGACCGACTCTTACAAAGCGGGAGTCTGGTGAAGTGAGCCCTGCTGTCCGGGACGCGGGCCCCCCCGGGGGACGGGATCTCCAGGCACTGCCTGGCGGCCGGGGCGTGACGCCCGTGCCCCGCCTCCACCCACCTGCCGCCTGAGGCCTGCACGGCCTGCTCCCCGCGGTCTCTGGTCATAGTATGACCACCCTCTCCCGAATAGGCGTTACGGATGGAGCTGTGGCCCCCAGGTCAACGTATGGAAGCTCTGAGCCCCACGTGACTGTGCGGAAAGCAAGCCTTTAGAGACGTGATCAAGGTTAAGCGAGGTCACTGGGGTGGCTCTCATCCACCAGGACCTGGGTCCCTGCGAGGAGAGGAGACCCGCACACAGACACGCACAGGGGGCGACCGCGTGGGGGCGTGGGAGACACCAGCCCCGCCCTCGCCTGGACCTCAGACTGCCGTCCCCAGGGTGTGAGCGACTACATTCTTGCCCTGTGGTTTGCGTTACGGCGGCCGGGGCGAACCCGGGGCCAGCCACACAAACCCACCTTCCCGGTTACACGGTCCTCGGACAGCCCGGAACCCGGGGGGCCAGGTGCACTGCGCGTCCAACCCTGTCACTAAAGTGTCCCCACCACGGGTGTGGAAGGACCACCGTGGGGCATAGACTTGCGGCATCGCAAAGAATTCAGTTAGAGGATGGAAACCACCCACACGAAGGCACGTGTGGGAGCCTGGAATGTCACAGACGGGATGTCCTTGAAGCTGACCTTCACCGTCTTCCTGGAGGGGACAGCACGGATGTAGACGGGATCATGTGCAGGGCGCCAGGTTTTGGGAACTAGAGAAGGGGTAGGGGTCCGGGACCCCGGCGCGCGGCGGGGTGGGCTCGCGCCCAGGCTGCCAGCTACTTCGGTCCTGATGCCAGCGCTCAGGGCCAGGGGCCGCAGGGCTGACACCCTCACCCACACGCGGCTCCAGCAATCCCACCAAGCCACAGCCATTGTGGTGACATCACATTCAGTAGTTGGAGGTGATCGGCACGAGAGACCATCTGGTGCCACTTCTGTGACGCTGCAGCAGCTCAGGAGCAGGAGGGATGTGTCTGCATCTGCGGACGCTGGGCGGATCCTGGCCGGGGAGCTGCGGGTGGTGGGGGCGCGCGGGGGGGAGGGGGCCCACAGCCTGCATGCCTGCGCGCCGGGGCGGGGGCTGTGTTCACTCTTCTGTGGCGATGGGAAGGTCCCCAGCAGGTGTGCTGCGGGGCAGAGGTGGTGAAGCCATTTCCTCCGGCTACTCTGTGATCAGAGGACCCTGGCTGGGCCCCGGGGGTGCTGGGCACAGCGATACCCCCACTGGGAGGGAGAGAGGAGAACCCCTACTAAGGGCCTGATATTCCAGGGCACAAAGTGCTTCAGGGGCACCCAGATGCAGTTTTGGGGGGCCTTCACTACCCACAGTCCAACATTCGTGGCATCCCCAGGTTTATCAGCGTCTGGGCGCCTGTCTGTGGGCCTCCCTGGCTGCTGGGTGAAAGCCTGGAGCCCCTACCCCAGGGCAGAGGGGTCCCGGGGGAAGGCCTCCTGGGAGGAGGTGCGTGCCCTCTCCCCCGGCCCTGACACAGCCGGGCACGCGGTGGCCTTCCCGTCGTGGGTGCCGGAATCCTGCAAGCCCCGCACGGGGCGGTGTGGCCTCTGCTCGGCGAGGCGCTGTGGGGGCCGGGCCAGAACTGGCAGCGAGCGCCCATCTCCGCGGAGGCGCTTGGCTATCAGGGGCTCCGGATTTGCGCTCGCTCCCGGTGGGCCGGAGCCAGAGTGACTTCCGGGAGTGCTGGCCTTTCCGGAAGCTCTCTGGCGGTGCTCCCGCCCAGGCGCGGGAAGCAGGGGCCTGCACGCACAGCCACCCTGCCGAGTCCGCTCGCCGGCGGTGGGGCCCTGGCCACCCGGGGCCCTGGTCACACTTTGGTCCTAACGCTTCCAAGGCCTCCCTCCTGTTTCCTGGCCACGCCGCCTGCCACCAGCCCGGGCACTGCCCGTCACGCACCGACCTCGCGGGTGAGGCCAGCCTCTGCCCCTCGCAACCCACGCTCCGGTCCTGCCCGCTCCTCGGGGGCGGGGTGATCTGGGGCACGCGGGTCGTCTGGTTCTGTGTCGGCTACGGGGGACCCGGGCAGCACGCGGCGGGCGGAGGCCTCTCCTGTGCCGGGGCTCGGCAAGGACGACGGCACGAGAGCCCGGGCCCTGGCGACACAGAGGGGCCTGCTCGGGGCGCGAAGCCCACCGTTCCTGCAGCAGCGGACCCGCCGCCCGCGCGAGCTGCTGGGGGCAGCCTGTCTGCTCGTCTGTGTCAGCGGAGGGCTGGAGAAGTCGGCCCGCAGACCTGGGGGCCTGGTGTCCCCCGGGGTTCACCGAGGGAGGGGCCTAACTGATACCATGAGACTAGACCAAACACAAAGTCTCCATTTTAGGTTTTCTCAGCAAGAGGGAAAACGTAAGGATCTATCTCGCGGCACAGATGACCTCAGTCCGAGTCCTGCGTCCCAGTCCTCTGGAGGGCAGCGCCCCAGGGGGTGGGGAGGTGGTGGCGCCTCGGCCCGCCCGCCCGCCCGCCCGCGCCTCTGCTCCGACACCCCCTTCCTGAGTCCTGTCTCTGGGGCCCTCCTGGGCCGGCCCACAGTCCATCTGGAATAAAACCTGGAGAATCCAGTTAAAAAGCAAAGACCAGAGAGGAGGCGGCGCAGAGGAGGAAGAGATGCCAGCTTGTGCCCGTGACGCCGGCGCGGGGGCCCCTCACTCACCTCGTTGGGCTCCCAGAGCCAGACGTCAAAGGTGGGCTTCCGCAGGGCTTCGATGGTCTCTGGAGAGAGCAGGTACTGGAAAGGACGGGAGGCCGGTCAGCCTCGGGGCGGGACAAAGGCTGCCGGCCGCCCGCGGGCTGGGGGGTCTGCTCCGCCTCCTCCTGTGTCCGGACTCCAAGGCCATATTCTACCAGAATTCCGGGGAGGGCCAACCTCCAGGGCGGAGACCCCATCAGCGGCTGCCGGGGGCTGGGCGAGGGCGCCAGGAAGGTCAGGAGGGGGGGACCGCGAGGAAGTCGTCGGGGGACAGGGCTGTTCCGCCCCTCGGTTACGCCGGAGGTTACCCAGGGTTTGCCGAATTCACGGCCCCTGCACCCACGCGAGGGAAACTTCACTGCGTGTAGATTACCTCTCAATAAACCCGACTTGAAAAATACACTAACGTGAGGTCGAGGGAAAATGGCGTACCTTCAAATACTGGCTAAGAAGCTATTAGGAGTTTCTCTTCTGAGGGAACCTGTCCTGCTAGCGGTACGGCTCGCTGAGGGGCGTGGACAGGGGACGCCAGAGCTTATGTCACACTGTCGTAGGAGATGGAGGCTGTGATTTTAGAGCAAGACCATCACGGCGCTCCGGGACTACATGTAACTCTGTCCTACGTCTTTTTTTTTTTTTTAAATGTTTATTCGTTTTTGGGAGAAGAGAGACACAGAACAAGTGGGGGAGGGGCAGAGAGAGAGGGAGACACGGAATCTGAAGCAGCTCCAGGCTCTGAGCTCTGTCAGCACAGAGCCCGACGCGGGGCTTGAACTCACAAACCATGAGATCATGACCCGAGCCCAAGTTGGAGGCTTAACCGACTGGGCCCCGTGGGCGCCCCTGGTTTGTTTGGGTTTTTGAAGGGAGTTGCTAGGGAGGAAAGACACCTTTCAGTGTGGGCATCGGCTGGGCCTCGTGACTTCCTGGGGCAGGACCCGGAGAGGTTGGGGTCACGTCTTCCTGTGGGAAGAGGCACTAGCTTCCATCTGAAAACCTTGGACAAAAGGTCACATGTCGTTTGGGGAAACCCGAGAGGTGGCTCCGGAAGGCTCTGTCCCGGCAGGGACGGGGGAGGGAGCTGCCTGATGCCGGGGCCCGTCACCTGTGTCAGCACCAGCACGCCGAGGCCTGAATCTTAGCGCAAGAGCGTGTGGACGGTCAGCGGGCCAGGATTCTGCCACCTCAGCTGAAGGTCCTGAGGAGACGGTGAGAGACACCACAGGACCCTTCTCTGCGGCTGTGTGAGGACCCTCCACTCCCAGGGCACTGCTGCGTCACCACGGCTGGGTTCCCGTGACCGAGAGATCTTTGGAGGTGACAGTGTGAGACTTCTCATAGTAACTACGTATTGTTCGGGGATGGGAGACCCCATGAGGCGGATCTGAGGTAATTTAGTTAAAAATTAAAGCTCCAGGGGCGCCTGGGCGGCTCAGTCGGTTGAGCGTCCGAGTTCAGCTCAGGTCATGATCTCGCGGTTCGTGGGTTCGAGCCCCGCGTCGGGCTCTGTGCTGACTGCCAGCTCAGAGCCTGGAGCCTGTTTCAGTCTGTGACTCCCTCTCTCTCTGACCCTCCCCTGCTCACGCTGTCTCTCTCTCTGTCTCCTAGAAATAAATAAACATTTAAAAAAAAATGAGTGAGTCCGTGATGGACACATTAAAAAAAAAAAAAAAAAAGTTAAAAAAACTTAAAGCTCCTTGCAGTAACAGGTGAGTGCAGACGCATTCGCCTCGGTGGCGATGGGCGGACAGCGGTGGGGGGGTGGGCGCACCCGGGTGCCACGGGAGGCCGGGCCCCGCCTCACAGACACACAGCGAACACAAGAGCCCGGTACCAAGGACAGCTGTGGTGTCCCGCCGCCCAGCGCCGGCGGGAGCCGGGTCTGCACAGGTGCAGGGAGTGGGGGCCTGGCCGGCACGGCCGGGTGGCTGAGGGCGTGGGACCCGGTGGCCCGGCCTCAGAGCCGGGGACTCCGCTTACCTTGGGATAAGTGGGGACATCCCGCCGGGGCGCCAGCTTCCTGTTGTCCACAGAACTGTACTTACAGGGACAGCTGGTCCTGAGGGAGGAAAGTCGGGGTTAGCTCAGGTGGGGCGTCCACGGGGCACCTCCTCAGAGCACCCCCACCCCCACAGGCCCCGTGGCCTTGTGCCGGGCAGTAGGCCCTAAATACGGCGACATCTCATGCTAACCCCCTGGGGACCCTGCCTGGACCTCCTGACACCACTGGGGCCTCAGTAAACACGTCAGCTTCATTTTAGGCAGGTTCCCACTTCCTCTTAATGACGCACGTAAAATGCTTTTATTCTAAAAGATTCAAACAAGGAAGTAGGTAAGGTGTAAAAAAAAAAAAAAAAAGCCATCGCCCCTTGCCCCTCACTTTACCTATTTCTTTCCTCTAAACCTCCCACCCTGGAAATGCCTTCAGTTACCTTTGGAGTATCCTTCCGGAAGTTTCCTACACGCGGACACACAGGGATAAGGCCTTGTATTTTTTTTTTTTAAACACAAATGGAATTGTACCAAACTTACTCTTTTGCAACTTGTGTTTTTTTCCCACCTCACATAGCACACGCTCACGGCACAGAGAAGCCCACAGAGCTGGGCTTCGGGACAAGGCAAATCCTCGCCCAGTGTTCCCGGACGGGGCCGTGTCACCAAGCCGGTCTCCCAGCACAGACCTGCAGGACGCTTCCGGTTTCCCCACCCCCGTGCCTCCCTTTAAGAGATGCATTTGCTCTCGGACCCTGTTTTCCTTCGTTCCTCAGTATTGAGGTACGTTCTGCACACGGACAGAACCCACCACGCGCTGTCTGCTCTGCAGGGAGAGGCCTCCTGCCCCCGTCGGGGGAGCGAGCACGGACCTGGCCGTCCCCGGGGGCTGCCTGCGGCCCCCTCCCCACCTTCTTGGGAACAAACACGCTCTCTATCCTCAGACTCTGCAAACTGTATTTGTAAATAAAGTCCCACCTTCTGGGAGACCAATTTATTACCATAGAGTAAGAGCTGCAGAGAAATTCGTGTCCGATAAGCCTGTGTGTCTACACTGGGGAATTTATTTTCAGAAAAGACTTAGATGCAAGCAGACAACCCTTTGCACAAAGGTATTCATCGCAACGTTATCTGTTGTTACAAAAACATGACACCAAACAAGAAGCCACCGAAATGTACAAACACGGGAAATGATTAAACCATCATGGCACAGCAATAAGACGGACGATGATGTGTTCTTTGAGATAATCATGAGTAGGATGTGAAGGAAGGAGATTTTAGGGGAGAATGAAGGAGAAACATTGTATACGATACGTACTGAAAGGTAATGTGAAAAGAATCCACCGAGGTATGGGGGTAAAAGAGCCCACTTGGGGGATGGCAGTGAGTGCTCGCCTGTGGCCTCCTGGATGAATGGATGAGCTGGGTGATGTTGGTTAAAATTAAAAAAATTTTTTTCTAACGTTTATTTATTTTTGAGAGAGAGAGAGACAGAGCGTGAGCTGGGAAGGGTCAGAGAGAGAGGGAGACACAGAATCCGAAGCAGCTCCAGGCTCTGAGCTGTCAGCACAGAGCCCAACGCAGGGCTTGAACTCACGAACCGCGAGATCATGACCTGAGTTGAAGTCGGATGCTCAACCGACTAAGCCACCTGGATGCCCCTTGGTTAAAATTTGATCTGTGTATTGCGCACAGTGTTGTACGTGAAAAAAGAATACAACACAGTACTTCTTTTCAAAAGGTGGTACGTATAGACAGAGGATCCGGGCAGCCCAGCATCTAGATTTTAGGTGGGGCCTCACAGGCTGCGATCTTCCCTGGGGGTTGGCCCCTCATCCGTTCAGTCTGGAGCCTTTACCTGGGGGCGTGCTACTTGCCAACACCGAGTAATGAATCCGTTTTCTTGCTGAAAAAGGCACCCACAGGATGAACAGGTGCCCTGCTATTCTCTCCCTTCCCCAGACGCTTACAAAGCTCTGCAGACTCCGTGTGGGGAGGGGGTTTCACACAGATTGAGCAAGAGTCAGCAACGAACTGACAGGTGATTTCCACTGTCGCCCGTAAACAAGCAACCGCACCCTACACGTTTCTGACCAGCAACAAGCGTGATCTGTGCACTTAAGAAAGGAGACAGCATCGGGGCGCCCGGGCGGCTCAGTCGGTTAAGCGTCTAACTCTTGATTTTGGCTCGGGTCATGGTCTCACAGCTCGTGAGTTCGAGTCCCGCGTCGGGCTCTGCATCGACAGCGCGGAGCCCGCTTTGGACTCCCTCTCCCTCCCTCCCTCCCTCCCTCCCTGCCCCTCCCCTGCTCATTCTCTCTCTCAAATTAAATACACTTAAAAAAAAAAGAGAGAGACTGCATTATTATTATTGCCATTCTTCCCTGCTTTCAGCCCCTTCTGTACAAACATCCGCACATGCGCCATGGTAGGCAGGCCGTGTGTGTGGCCCCGGACGGTGGGGCAGCCTCCACAAGGCAGAAGCGTCCTTGAGCCTCCCAGTGTGGTGTCCAGGGCCTCCCCACGGGGCCAGGCGGCCCCGCCCACTCCCTCTGCCCCGTTGCCATGGGAACCAGCATCCTCCAGCCACAGAGCAGCTGCCTCTTCTTTTCATTCTATTTGGGGCTTATTTTTGCTTGCAGTTCCTGGGGCTCCCGGCCTCCCCTCCCCTGTGGCTCATCTGGACGAGGCCATTTGTTTGTGATGAAAGTGGAGATCGCGCACTTGAGCCGTCGGATGCCGCCCCATGCCCTGGCAGCGCCCCCACCTCCCGGGGACGAGGCAGCACGCTCCCCTCTCTGCTCAGCTCGGCCCTGCCCGAGACAGGAAGCTGGCCCGGGAGCTCTGGCCACTCCCAGGGCGGGAAGGCGGTCTGGTCCACGGAGGCCCCTGGCGCCGAGGCCCCGCTGGGATGTGCCCACGGGCCAGGGAATGGGGGTCATTAGCCACCCCTGCGGGTACAGGGCTGGGCTCAGCCCTGCCTGCCGCCTGCGTCCCCTCTGCCTTCTAGAGGGGCTCGGTCACCACCCCGCGAGTGGTTATCACCGGAAAGAGCAGTCCGGGGTGCCCTTCTCTCCCTGCAGGCCAGGAGGAGCTGTGTGTCAGGGAGCCTCGTCCTGGGGACGCGAAAATGCTGTGACAGCCCTGCAGGATGATGACAAGGGAGCTCTGACACCACAGAGACAGACGGGGAGGGCGAGCGGCTTTTATTTCCCAGCTGAGTTCGCGTCTCCGTGAAGCAAGGGGAAGAAGGGCCGGCAGCGGGCGGCGCGGAGGGGCTGCCGGGCTCCTGGCCGGGGGCCGGGGTGGGCGGCGTGGCTGCGGGTCGGGCCCGAGCCCAAGCCCCCGGGGTTCTTTTTTCTCTGGATGTGTCAGTGATGTTGGAGACCCCCCCCTCCGTGGGCGACTGAAGAGTCACATTTACCCGTCTCTCACCTACGTGGGATGCTGTGAAAGCGTCTGCTGAGAATATCACCTCGAGAAGCAGTTAGGGCACCGGGCAGGCTTCTCTTTGCATCATGGCATTGTGAGCTCTAAAAATGGACCTTCTGGGTGGCAAGGAAGGGACCAGGCACCCACCACGCCTCAGCCCAGCCCACGTGGCCAGATGGGCGCCTGTGGGTGACGTTTTGCCTCTCGGCTCCTGGGTGGGGTCTCCCCAGGGGCTCTGAAATCGGGTATCTCGTCCCCACGTGCTGTGCTGTGGTTGGATCGTGCCCCCCAGGTAATAATTTGAAGTCCCAACGCCCCAGCACCTGAGAGCGGGACTCCCTTGGGAAATAGGGTCACTGCAGGTGTAACTGGTTAAGACGCGGCTGTTCAGGGGTAGGATGGGCCCCAATCTAGTAAGACTGGTGTCCTCGTGAAGAGGGACATCAGGACCCGGAGCCACACAGGGAGAAGGCCGAGTGAAGACCAGGCAGAGACTGCACGGTGCGTCTACAAGCCGGGAAGCTCCAAGCACTACTCATAACTTCCAGAAGCTTCCGACAGGGGCCTGGAATAGATCCTCCTTGGAGCCTTCGGCAGGGCATGGCCTCATTGACACCTCTGCCATCTGCCATAAAAATTTGAGAGAACACATTTCTAGTGGGTGAAGCCCCCGGATTGAGGTGCTGTCATGGCCGCCTCAGGAATCTGGCAGGACTTGGACCCAGTTAGTTTCCCCTTGCAGCCTGACCTTCAGGGCCAGGACCGCGTCCCTCCAGGCTGGCACACGCCCCCTTCCACAGGGTGGGGGGAAGGTGGAGGCTGGGGGCCGCCTGGGACGCGCAGGGACGGGAGCAGCAAAGGCAGGCGGCAGGATTCAGTCATTTGAGAAGGGACCAGAGGCTGCGTCGAGAACCGTGCCCCGCAGGTGTTCTGTGGGCTCCGTGAGTGGGCCTAGTGAGTGAGGTGATGCCCACGGAGGCGGGAGGGGGCCTCAAGGGCACCATTCCCACCCCAGAGACACCCCCTCGGGGCGGTGAGGTTCCTCACCCGCAGTCCAGATGAGGGGCTGAAGCCAGGAGCTGGCTCAGACCTTTCTTTCAGACTGGACACAAACTCCAGTTTTAATTCCCTTTCCTGGAAGTTGCCAGATGATGTTGGTAGCGGTAGGGGTGCCAGGGCCGCCACCCCCCGTGGAGCAGCCTGCGCACACCCGGCCCCACTGGGCACAGGGCCACCGGGCTCGCTCCACGGTGGACATGAACTCGGCCCCGGGGCTGAGCTGAGCCGTGTGGATCCTGAGCCTGAGGGCGACTCCGTGGCCGCATCCGAGGTGGATCTGAGCCTCCCTCCCAGCTCCCTGTGCCAGGCCAAGTGCAGGGCCCCGACCCGGTCACAAGGGGGGTTCTAGCCTCTCACTAACGGGATGTCGAAGATGAATTACTGACTCACAACTTCCTGTGAAGTTTCACCAATGTCTTCGCCCTGACGTCCCCAAATCAAATGGGATGGGACGTCCCCAAATCCAAATCAGGTGTCGCGTGGCTGTGATGCAGACACGGCCCGGTCCCTGGAGGACCGCACCAACGTGGCTTTGAGCCCACCGGGCTGTTCCCCGAGCCCACCCTGAGGCCGGCCGGCCCCTGAGCATCTCACGGGGCCTCCCTGGGACCATCTGCTTCCCCGTCACCTCCTGCCCTCAAGGACGCTCCTGCATAGCCAGCCTCCCTCACTAAGCGGGTCGCCCTCGATGTTTTAAAATCAGGGAATGATCTTCAGGCGGATGAGTCTTCCTAAGACCAGCTGGTGCGCGTGCAGGGCTATTCGTGGGTTCCCTGTCCCCACTGAGCCCCGCCGAGGTCCGGCTGTGCCCCATCCCGGGAGGACCCTCCCAGGAGGTGGCCGTGGGCAGGTGGGGAGGCGGGGCTGAGGGAGCATCCCGCAGTAAGTGCTCCATGCGCCCGCCCTCCCTCCTCATCGTCTCTTCCGTCCCCCCAAACACTTGCTGAGATCATAGTTCCCAAGGGTCCTGCTGTACGTACACCAGCCTGCTTTCAGGGGCGTCATGAAGCCCGGGGTGCTCTTCCCCACGCCACTTGGCCCCCCACGGGAGAGTGACTTCTGTGTCCAGGACGGCCAGAGGCCCCGTGGCCCCTTCTCCCGTGACCTGTTGCTCTGTGCCGTGGGGACGCCCACACGGGAGCACGGCCTCCGGGCACCAGGGCGCCCTCCCCCGTAACCTCGAAGCCTCTTCCTCTCCCTGGGCCCTTGCCAACTTCTCGAGCTTCTCTCAAGCGGGTAAGTTAATCTAAGGCTTTGATCTGCGGGCGGATTATTCTTCCTTTACATGAAGTCATCGTCCTCGCCTCCATCTGCCAGACTCTCTTCTGCGGGAAGCAGGCTTCTCACCGACCAGCACTTCCCAGCCGGAGCCCGGCCGCCTCCGCAGCGCCCCGGCCCGGCCCAGAAGGGAGCCGGGAGCCCCCGCAGGCCGGGCAGCCCTTCCCAGGCCTGAGCTTACCTGCTGCTTCTGGCCGCCAGCTCCTCCCTCATCTTTTTGATGTCACTCTTGCATTTCTCAATCTCCACCACCTTCAGGCCTTCCACTGGGGCGAGGAGAAACGGGGGTTACCATGGATACGCGTGGAGAACCTTCCAAGGCTGATGACCGGGGCTGGCCCTGCACCTCGAGGAAGCCGACCCCCGCGGCGGTCCCCTCCGCCCCCCTCGGCGGCAGCGCAGCCATGGCGACCGCGGCGCCCCTCCCCCAAATCCTGCACCCACTTTCTCTCCCCAGCCCCCGAAGCACCGGCTGGGGACCCGGGACAAAGAAATCTTATCCTAAGAAGAAAAGGAGGAAATGCGGCCACAGCGCGTTAAAACAACCAGAGGCTCTCAGCAGGCAAAACCGCAGGCTTCCCGGCAAGCATGCAATCACAGTAATAGAAAACCTCCGAATTCTCAGGTCCCGCTGGAGCAGTTAACCGGGAAGGGGTGTGGACACGGGGGCGGGGACGCAAACAGGGCTGGGGCTAGCAGAGCCGGGCTGGGTCACGTTCCCCCAGCCCCGCCGCGGGGGACTGGTCGGGGACTGGTCGGGACACTGCCGGGAACCAGGGAAGGGACTGGAAAGAACTGGAGCTCGTGCCTCCGGGCGAGCGTTCACCTCCGAGGTGGTCGCTCCGGCAGGAGCACCTGTAGCCCCGAAAAGCTGCCACCAAGCAAGCGGCTTCCCTTCCAAAAGGCGTTTCTATGAGATCAGTTCTTAAGCCAACAGAAAGATTAGCTTTGTTACTCTGGAATCACACCTCGGTTTTTATGCAAAAAAGACAGGACGCAATATGCTCCTCTGTTCCCCCTTTCCTCAAACGTGGTCTGGGCACCTAAACCTGCACACAATTCCCTCCCACGGCCTCGGGGCTGCTCTAGAGCAAGTGTGGGGAGGGAGCCTGCACAACCCTGAGCACCCCGGGCAGTTTTCTAGATGTTTCCAGGGCCAGGACCCACGCAGGCGCAAGGCTACCTGCAGATACTGCCTCTTTCTGCCTGGAGTGGTGGGGGCCAGAGGGTCTGATGCTCGAGTCTGGTTCTGGCGACTTGTGTTCCTCAGGGGGTGTTGCATAGAAGCCTCTCCATGAGGACACAGGACCGAAACCCGGGGACAGGGACAGAAGCCCGGGGACACGGGATGGAAGCCCAGGGACACGGGACAGAAGCCCAGGGACACAGGACAGAAGCCCAGGGACACAGGACCGAAGCCCAGGGACATGGGACAGAAGCCCAGGGACACAGGACCGAAGCCCGGGGACGTCAGTGCAGCGGGTTGGGTGGGTGGGAGCAGCCAGGTGGGGAGACCCAGAGAATCTGACCTCGGGGACGGTCCACTCTCTTGCCAAGAGCCCACAGCCTCCTTTGGGAGTGGGGCGTTCTTAGCACTTTCTTGCACCGAGGACCCCACTGAGAAGTGGATGGAAGCTGCGGGTCCTCCTCTGAGCAAAGCACACCAGCGCGCACCCCTTCTGGTTTGCACCTGGACCTCCCAGAGCGCTGTGTCCGGGCCCTGGGCCACACCGCAGGAGGCTCACCCGCAGGGGAGCCACGGCCCAGCGACATCCGGGCCTCTGCCCTCTGGGGTCCTCTGGGACGCTGAGCTCAGCAAAGGGCAGATTCCACGTGGGTGGGAAGGAGCTCAGTCTCGTTGACATGTGAAGGGCAGAAAATTCCAGAAAGTGAACAGCTCTGGAGAAGAGTCCCTGTACGTGGCACAGACTTTTGAGCCCCAGAGTGAAGAGCCAGGCAGTGGGGGGTCCAAACGGGGTGGCCGTGCCTGTCCTGCCACTCACCGTGTTCTAAACATCATGTCTCTTAACACAAGGTTACCTCTGGTTGTTGTAGAAAACGGGGGGGGATACAGGGCCCCTCAAGGAATGTTGTAAAATTTATCTGTTCCTACTGCCCCCAGAACAATTCATTTAATATCCTACTGATGTGTATCTTTCCAGGTGTTTCTCTCCCAGCCCCGTGCATCGAAACATCTATCTGTCCAACCAGAGTTTTAAAAAGACAAAATTGGGATCATACTGCTTGTTCCGTTTTCTCACTCGCTGATTTACCGTTATTAGTAAGTTAAGGGCACACCCCACGTTAGTGCTCAGTGGGTACGTCATGTTTGATTATTATTATATTACACATAATACATAATATATATATTGTATATTATATTATTATTACATTGGTTCACGTAGATCAGATTTCCGGGCCATTTACTGGGAGTGATGTTCAAATTAAGTCTTGTGGACGAGACAGTACAATATCACTAATTTGAGTCCCAGAGATTCAGAATTTATGGCGAGTATGGTTATGAGGAGCCCGGTTGCCAAGGGCATGGAGAGTGAGTAACAAGGCCGCGAAGCTGTACATTCATCAACGGGAGAGACGGGAAGGTCGTGGGATTAAAGGCAGAACACGCGAGGAGGGGGCGGGGGCCATGAGAGCACCCGCACGCCCGCGGCCGCCGCCCCTGTCCTTTCCAGGCTGCCTCTGGAACATTCCACAGCTCACCTGGCCCCACTTTGCCCCTGTTCCACAGGAGGGAGGGGTTTGGTGCAGGACCCCTTCAAAGAGCTGCACAGACCCGGCTTTGCTCTCGAGTGAGGCTGGACGTCGGGCCCCCACGCTGCCGCCTCACCTGTCCACCCTCAAACTTTCAACAGGGGGGCACAGCGCGGGAGCCCAAGCTAGAGCCCGGAGGGGTGTCGGTGCCCACCCACGGGGAGCCGCGTTTGCCCCCGACTAATCACAACTGCCTGACCCGTGGCTGGCGCCCCCTGCAAGCCTGGCCGCCCCCTCCAGGACCTGGGGAGGCCCGGGGGGCCTCTGCGAGCCACAGGCCGTCCTGACAGAGAGCCTTTGGGAACGGCTTTCTGGAAGGGGCACCGGCGTGGGGGCAGGGGCCTCGCTGGGCAGAGGTAAGAGCACAGGCCGGGGAGGCAGCTCTGCTCCGTGCCCTTCACGGGCCGCGGGACTAGGCGGCCTGGGCCAGCAGGGCCCTGCTTCAGCGGCAGAGCCGACGAAAGCGCGTTAAAGACACGGGTGACGAGATCTGTATTTCAATGTTCGCTCCAAAGGTCTGGGTGAAGAATGTGCATAAAGCACACGTCCCGAGCAGCACAGAGGGAAGCCTGCGTTCCAGCTTCGAGCCTTCCGGATTGTTTGCATGGCCTGGCATTAAACTTTGTGCCACGGGGCCAGCCCTCCCGGCGTGTAGGGTCTGGTCGGGGCCTGGGCATGGGGGCAGGGCGCTTGGTCCCTGAGTCAAGCCCCGAACCGACTCTCCTGTGCTTTCTGCTGCCCTGGTGGTGACGGGAGGCAGGCGGTGATGATCTCACACACATGTTCCAGAACCAGTCATGGGGTCAGGGGCGTCGGCGTGTCTGGTTCATGCCTCTGTTCAGCAGAAGTTCCTCCCCCAAGGGGGCTGGCCTGGGGGGGGGGGCGGCTTCGAGATTTCATTCTGCCCCTTTCTGCCTCCCGCCGCTGCTGAACACGTACGGGGGCCCCAGCCGCGCACTCGAGCCGCGTCCTGTGTTACGACACAAAATGCTGTTCTCGCCCCGCCATCAAGGACGCCAGCGCTCACCTCCGGCCCCGCCTCACTTCCCCTCGCCGCTCACCACCGGCGGCCTAGCGGTTCAGCGAAGCAGAGGTTAAAGGACAAGGAGAAAGGGGCAGGGAGCTCACTCACATTCGACGCGCTTCTCGAGCACCGCCAAGTGATTCGCGACTTCGGCTTTCAGTTCGTTGACTTTAAATGCTCTAGGAAGGAAAACAAGCCAGAACATGACTCTTAACATCCTCAAAATCACGATGGGCCTGGCAGACACGTGTAGGGGGCGCAGGGGCGAGGGGCTGCTTTCAAGGAGCTCACGGTGTCTGGGGGAGGGGGTTGGGGGCGGGAAGGCCCACCCTCAGCCGACCTCAGGGCGGTGAGCACCTGCTGTCCATGGAGCACCGGGTCGTCTGCTCACAGGACAGCCCACACCCCGCTCCCTGCCCGGCCGGGCACAGAGCCATTGAGGGGACCCGCCCTGTCCTCTCCAGGCTCCAGCCCGTTCAGCGCAGCGGCAGTTAGGCTTTGAGGGCGCACCACCACCCATAGGCCCTGGGGCAGCAGGAAGCCACCGTGAAATAACCAAGGGACAGAATGCAGTCCTTCGGGACTGGCAGGATGTTTCGGAAGGGTAAGAAGCCCCATGTCTACACAGGATCTCTGTGGCAATGCTTATTTTGAAGCCCATTTTAAAAGTGGTGTCATTTTGGGATGCCTGGGGGGCTCAGTAGGTCAAGCGCCAGACTCTGGATTTCAGCTCAGGTCATGATCTCACAGTTCGTGAGTTCGAGCCCCACGTCAGGCTCTGTGTTGACAGCTCAGAGCCTGGAGCTGCTTCCGATTCTGTGTCTCCCTCTCTCTCTGCTCCTCACCCGCTCACACACTGTCTCTGTCTCTCAAAAATAAACATTTAAAAAAAGTAAAAATAAATAAGTAAAAATGGTGTCAGTTCTCGTAGATTGAGCGCTGAATCCCAGGAGAGCCAGTGGAGAAAACTCTCAGCAACGTCCGCTCTCAGGCTCAAAGCGCCCACCTCCCCTGCTGTTTGGTGTAAGGCCAGCGCTTCGTGGGCCCCACCCGCGCTGCCTTAGTTACAGGGGTCCCGCAAGGGCTCCCCCCCGAAGGCCGCCCCTCTGGGTGAGCGATGGGCCGGCGCCTTGCCGGCCGACACGGCCTCGAGCAAGGGCCCACCGTTGCCGCGAGCAGAAAAGCATACCTCTGCAGAGACTATGTGTCTAGAAGTTTCTGTACCTTGAGAACTGTTCTACAACCTGGGTCAGCATGCTCTGGATTAGTTCTTCTTTCTCTGCAGAGAGAAAGAGAAAGACAGATGGAGAACGGGAGGCGTCCGCGGATCACCGGGGCCTGAAACGGGACGTCGCGGGCGGGTGGCACCACCGCCGTGGCGGGGAGCTGCCGGGGTCACTGCAGGGACGCCCTGGCCCATGGTGGGCGCGCGGGGGCCCCCGGGGCCTGGGGTTTTCCCGTCCGCCTTCAGAGGGCCCCTGCCCTCCTGGCCTGCTCCCACCCACCCGCGTGAGTGGCCTCTGGGCAGAGGGACCGAGCTCTGGCCCTGTCAGACTCAGCACCGGCCATAAAACGCAGGCCAGACCGGTCTCTAAATACGGGAAGTTTTCACTTAGTGCCCGGCTCTGTTTTATGGGGGGCAATTACTAGGACAAAGCAAGTTCAAGGCAGATTTCAAAGGTAAAGCACGGCGTTCTCATGGCGGGGCCTGGCCAGAGGAAGCCGGGCAGGGTGAGCGAGTTTGTTCCTGCACGTAAACCAGGGCTGGGTGATGGCTTTACAATATAACCGGCCAGTGTTCCTGTTTCCTGGCTGGGCGCGGAGCCAGACGCCTCATAGGAAGGCCCAGCCGCTCACGGCCCGTTCTTTCCAGCACTCCGTCTCCCGGGAAGGGGGACCGCACGCCTTGGCCTCAGGCGGCCATTCGTCCACACCCTAAACACCGAGAAACCACACAGGACTTACTCCTGGGCCGTGTAATCTCTGCTGGCTCTATGCCTAAAACCCAAGCTAACGAAAAACCAAACCAAACCTGTCCAGACAAACAACAACAAAAAAAATCTCAATTATCGAGTTTGGCGCAAAAGTAAAAGCAAAAGCAAAACAAAACGTTCCCATCCCCTGTTCCGATCCAGGGTCTCCATTTCTAGGAAAGGACATATGCACGGACGCAGAAGATGCTCATCACGGTGTTACCAAACCTGGTGAGAACCAGAACAGCCCAAGTGCCCATCAAACGGACATCAAATAGATGACGGCACATCTGTCCTGTGGAACTAAGGTCTGCTACCAGAAATAATATTTTGGAAAATGTTCACGTCGATGGTGACAGGAAAAAAAGAGAGAGAGGTTGTAAACCAGGAACACAGTGTGATTGCGTTTTTGAAGACCTTGGGAAGATGTACTTGGGTTGTAAGATTACGTACAAACTTTTTTCTTCTTGTTTCTCTAGATCTAACATATTTCTATAATGAACATATGCTAATTTCATGAAAAGTATTTAAAAAACAACCAATATAAATTAGCCCCTTGAGACCTCTCATTCCTTTACTGGCCAAACGAAAAGGCGATGAATCAAGCTTCTGGGTGGCGTTAGCATTCTAGGACTTGATGAGGAGAACAAAAAGGAAGTCTTGTTAAATCTCTTGAAACTGTCAGAGTGCAAACATCATCCAGGACACTTTGAAAGAGTCCCTTTGTAGAGCTGCTGGTGGGTCTGAGGCCCTATTCCTACACCGGGGGAGACGAATGGTGCCTCCATCAGCAAGAGCCACCAGGGAGAGAGCATCACGGGCCTCCTTGGTGAACTCAGCAGGCTTTTAGATCACGTATTCTGAAATCTTCGGCAAGAAAGGCATATCCTATAACCTTCAAGAGTTAGTGATCTTGAGGTCTTGACATAAGTTTAGAAGTACAGCAGAGAATCAATATTTATAGACCACATCCCTTAACAACAGCAGAACGCACATTCTTTTCAGATGCCTGGGAAGCTTATACTAAGAGAGACCACATCCTGGGCCACATAGAAACCCCCAAAAACGTAAAATAATTGAAACCATGTAGAGCACGGTCTCTGACCATGAGAGAATCCAGCTAGAAATCAATAACTGAAATCATAGGAGAATCTTCAAACACTTGGAATTTAACCCTGCACTCCTATGTAATTCAGGGTCAAAGAGGAAGTCTCGAAGGAAATAAAATAGACCTTGAACTGAATGCAAATGTAAATGCAAATGCAACATATATCCAAATTTAGCTGTGAGACATAGCTAATAGCAGTGCCGAGAAGGACACTTATAGCACTAATGCTTACAACAGAAGAGCGGAAAGACTCTAATCTAAGAGCCGAGAAAAAGAAGGGCAAAATGAACCCACCACAGTAGCAGAAAAAGGAAGGAATTAATAAAGGACAGAACTCAATGAAAAAAAAAAACGCTAGGAAAACAAGGCAGAAAATCAATGAAGCCGAGTGCTGGTTATTTAAAAATATCAACAAGTGGCAAAATCTCTGTCAAGATCGACAGAAATAACACACTGAGAAAACACAGATTTACAGTATCAGGAAGAAGGGGGGATCCGACGACAAACCCTGAAGGGAACACGACAGAGAACTCGACACACACAAATGCGAAACCTTAGAGGAAAATGGAGCGATTCCCAGAAAAGCATGAACGACCGTGTTCACCGAGTATAACATAGGTAATTGGAACAGCCTAAAACTATTAAGGAAATTGAATTTCTAACTTTAAAACTCTCCCCCAAAGCAATTTCCAGGTGCAGATGGTTTCACTGGAGAATTCTACCAAACATTTAAAGAAGAATCAACACATATCTAAACAATTTCTTCCAGAAAATAGAAGAGGAGGGAACATTTCCCAATTCAATTGATGAAGCCAGTATGAACCTGATTACCAAATCCAGAAAAAGACAACCACAAAAAGGAAACGACAGACCGATATTCCTCATGACTATAGATGCAAAATCCTTAACACGATATTAGCAATTAGAATTCAACTACATATAGAAAGGATTGTACGTTAAGAACAAATGGGATTAATTCCAGGGATGCAAGGCTGATTTGAGATTTGAAAATCAGTGAGGGCAATCTACTTTATTAACAGCTAAAGAAAAAAAACACATGATCTATCAATTCATAAAAAACATTTGGAAAAATATTTAACATCGGTTCCTTTGATAAACTCTCAGATGGGGCGCCTGGGTGGCTCAGTCGGTTAAGCATCCGACTTTGGCTCAGGTCATGATCTCAGGGCTCCCAAGTTTGAGCCCCTCACTGGGCTCTGTGCTGACAGCTCAGAGCCTGGAGCCTGCTTTGGATTCTGCGTCTCCCTCTCTCTCTGCCCGTCTCCCACTTGCCCTCTGTCTCTCAAAAATAAATAAACATTAAAAAAAACTCTCAGAAAAGCAGGGACAGAGGAGAACATCTTCAAGCTGATAAAGAACATCTACCCAAACCCTACAGCTCACATTACACTTGATGGTGAAAGACTGACTGCTTCTTTTTTTTTTATATATATATATTTTATTTATTTCTAGGAGAGAGAGAGAGACAGCGTGAGCAGGGGAGGGTCAGAGAGAGAGGGAGTCACAGACTGAAACAGGCTCCAGGCTCTGAGCTGGCAGTCAGCACAGAGCCCGACGCGGGGCTCGAACCCACGAACAGCGAGATCATGACCTAAGCGAAAGTCGGACGCCCAACCGACTAAGCCACCCAGGCGCCCCGACTGCTTCTTGCTTAAACTGGGACACAGCAGGGACGTCTCCTCTCAGTATTCTCATTAAATGTAGTGGTAGAAGTTCTAGCCAGTGCAACAAGGCAGGAAAAAGAAAAGCAGACCAGAAAGGAAGAAACAAAACTGTGCCCGTTTGCCCACGACAATTTGTGATTGTGATTGTGTACACAAGAAATTCCAGGGCATTTACAAAAACCTCTTAGAACTAATAAATGAGTTCAGCAAGGTCACAGGGTACAAGATAAACGTACAAAATTGTATTTACATACACTAGCAATGACCATGTAGATACCAAAATTAAAATCACAATGCCATTGTATAAACACTAAAAAAACCCTCCAAAATTTAGGTCTACATATAACAGAACATATGCAGAAGTTGTATGGTGAAAACCACAAAACACTGATGGAAAAAATAAAGAAAAAAAAAGACCTAACTAAATGAAGAGACATACCATGTTCATGGTTTGGAAGGCTCCACATAGTAAAGATGTCAATTTTCCCCAAACCAATAAACGGGTTTAACACAATTCTTATCAAAACTCCAGCAAGATTTTTGTAGAAATAGACACGATTATTCTTTTTTAAAGTTTATTTATTTGGAGAGAGAAAGACAGAGAGAGAGAAAGAAGGAGAGAAGGTGCATGTGGCAGGGGAGGGGCAGAGAGAGAGGGAGAGAGAATCCCAAGCAGGTTTCCTTCTGTCAGCACAGAACCCGATGTGCTCGATCCCAGGAACCGTGAGATCATGACCTGACCCAAAATCAAGGGGCAAACGCTTAACCGAATGAACCACCCAGAATAGGCGCCCCTATTCTGACTTTTATATGAAAATGCAAAGGAATTAGAATAGTTAAAACTATTGTAAAAAAAAGATAAAGTATACTGATTAAAAAAAATTTTTTTAATGTTTTATTTATTTTTGAGAGAGAGAGAGAGAGAGAGAGAGAGAGACAGCGTGAGCAGGGGAGGGTCAGAGAGAGAGGGAGACACAGAATCTGAAGCAGCTCCAGGCTCTGAGCTGTGAGCACAGAGCCCAATGTAGGGCTTGAACCCACGAACTGAGATCATGACCTGAGCCGAAGTCAGACGCTTAACCGACTGAGCCACCCAGGCGCCCCATGGCAATTTCTTAAAGGAAGACAACAACCAAGTTTGCTGTATCCATTGGGTCTTCCTTTCATGAAAGGTTCCTCTTGGCACACAATGCAGTTTGAAAGCATTTTGACCACAGGAGAACTTCTTTCTTTCTTTCTTTCTTTTCATGTTTATTTATTTCTTGAGAGAGAGAGAGAGAGACAGACAGACAGACAGACAGACAGCATGAGCAGGGGAGGGTCAGAGAGAGAGGGAGACACAGAATCCGAAGCAGCTCCAGGCTCTGAGCTGTCAGCACAGAGCCCGACATGGGGCTTGAACTCATAGACCGCGAGATCATGATCTGAGCTGAAGTCAGATGCTTAACCGACTGAGGCACCCAGGGACCCCAGAATTTCTTTCAAAACTGTACTTAACCCTCTTAAGCCTTGCTGCTACTTTTTCAACTATTTCTTTTTTGGTCATATTCTAAATCCTTTGTTGTCATTTCAACAATGTTCACAACATCTTCACCGAGAGTAGATATCATCTCAAGAAACCACTTTCTTTGCTCGTCCCTAAGAAGCAACTCCTCATCCATTAAAATTTTATCATGAGATTGCAGCCATTCAAATATAATAACAAAAGAGCTTGAGTTACTCCAAGAATTACCAAAATGTGACAGATCCACGCAGTTAGCAAAGGCTGTTGGAAAGTGCTGACAGACTTGCTTGATACAAACCTTCAATTTATTAAAAAAAAAGAAAAAGAAAGAAAATATGCCCACAAATATGCCCAGCTGATTCTGACCAGCACGTCAAAGCAATTCAGTGCAGGAAAGGCAGTCTTTTTAACAAATGGTGCTGGAGCGGTTGAACATTCACAGGCAGGAAAACGAGACTCGATCTAAACCTCACAGTTTATATAAAAAGTAACATGAAATGGACCATGGATGTAAAATACAAAACCATGAAGCTGTTAGGAAAGAATGTAGAAAACCTCCAGGTTCTCGAGGGAGGCAGAGTTCTTGGACTTGACACTTCAAACAGGATCCATAAAAGGAAAAACAGATAAGGTGATCTTCGTCAGAAGTAAAGCTCTTTGGGGGCACCTGGAGGGCTCAGTAGGTTAAGCATCTGACTCCGGCTCAGGTCATGATCTCGCAGTTTGTGAGTTCGAGCCCCGCATCGGGCTCTGTGCTGACAGCTCGGGGCCTGGAGCTGCTTTGGATTCTGTGTCTCCCTCTCTCTCTGACCCTCTCGTGCTCATGCTCTGTCTCTGTCTCAAAAATAAACACTAAAAAAGAAATTAAAAAAAAAAAGAAGTAAAACTCTCGCCGTGAGAAGGGCTGATAAAACAATGCAAAGACCAGCTACAGTCTGGGAGGAAACACCGTACAGCCCACCTGACAGAGACTTGAATACACAACATGAAAAGAGCAGCCAGAACTCCACAGTAAGTTCTGTGAAATAAACCTGGCAGATTGCCCTTTCCCCCCAAAACCCCTCAGCGGTAAAAAGCAGAACAGCCCAATCTGAAAGGGGCAGGAGATGCTAGCAGGCATTTTATGGAAGTGAATGCACAGAAGGGCATAAATCCCTTTGGAAACAGATTAAAACCACAGTGAAATGTCACAGCGTACTTGTCAAAAAGGCTAAAAAAAAAAAAAAAAATGACAACCCCAAGTGCCCGTAACGATGTAGAGAAACCGGATTACTCCTACTTTGCCGAAGGGAATGGAAAAACGGTGCGACCTTTCTGGAAAATGGCTGGGCGGGTTCTGGCAGGAGCTAACCTCGCACGCACCATACAACTTAGCGATTGCTCCCCGGGCAGAGAAGTGAAAGTTTATGCTCACGATGTTCCCAGCAGCTCTGTGTGTAACAACCGCGACGTACCGGGACGGGTGGCTGACTGTACACGTGAACGACCGCTCTGTAGAACACTCTTGAAATGGCAACATGACGGAAATGGGGAGCACAGAGGCTGTCAGGGGTTGAGGACGAAGAACCTCGGTGGGGATGAAATGTGCATCTGGACTGTCTCGACATCCACGGCGCGGCTGTGACATCTTATTATGGCTTCAAAGTTGTCACCGCGCGGGAAAATGCGAAAGAGGTATGCGGGCTCTCTCTGTCCTTTTCCTTACAACTGTCTACTATCCTATAATTATTTGCAAGCAAAAAGCTTAGGGGCGCCTGGGGGGCTCAGTCGGTTGGGCGGCCGACTTCAGCTCAGATCATGATCTCACGGTTCGTGGGTTCGAGCCCCGCGTCGGGCTCTGTGCTGACAGTTCGGAGCCTGGATCTTGCTTCGGATTCTGTGTCTCCCTCTCTCTCTGACCCTCCCCTGCTCACGCTGTCTCTCTCTCTCTCAGAAATAAATAAAACATAAAAAAAAAAAAAAAGAATTTCCAGCCCAAGCGCTCGTAGGTAAAGCTGTTTGTCCCCTCATCGTGTACCTTCCCGTCCCCGGTTCAGTCCCAGGGGTGGACATGGGGCCAACTCGGCCCCCACCCCCCCCCCGCTGTTCAGGGAGGGCCGGGCTCCCAGGGAGGACAGCGTCCGGTCCCCGCACTCCTGGGTGCTCCAGGTACGTGCATGGCCTGCATTCTTCGCAGGGGCAAAGAGGCAAAAATGCCTGTATGCACAAAGGCCAGCTACACCCACACGTCCATAAACAGAGCCCTGATCAGGAAGTGGATCTCCCCGCCCCCGGCTGTCTGGAATTCCTGCAGCGGGCCGCTGCTTCCTCCCGGTGGACTTCAGAGCTGAAAATGAATCGTGATCTCGGGTGTGGACGCACGGCCGGCGGCAGGCGCTGCTGCGTGAGCCTGAGCCTTGGCTGCTGCGGCCCCTCAATCGCTGCGGGCCCCTGCCAGCCTCGAGCTCTCCTGGGCACGCTTCTCTCCTTTGGGTGCCGGTCCCTGTGAGCCCCTGGGGGACGGGCTGAGCTCCGGGGGGAGGCGCGTCCTGCCTGTGCTCAGCTGGCAACCCTGACCCCTCCGATAGCCCTAACCCCCTGGATTCGGGTGAGCAACAAGCAGTTTTTAATTGCAAATGTCAGTTGTTTCCAACCTTCCCGGTCAGAAATCAGAAGAATCTGACACCACGCAGCAAACTCACCTCTTTTTGCCCACGTGCCGCGTGGTGTACACTGACTTTCAAAAATTAAAGTGTATTCAGGTATTTTGCTTTGAGAAATTCTTTTTCTTTTGAAGCTTATTCTGAGAGAGAGAGAGCGTGCATATGAGTTGGGGAGGGGCAGAGAGAGAGGGAGAGAGAGAGATTTCCAAGCAGGTTCTGTGTTGACAGCACAGAGCCCAATGCAGGGCTCGATCCCACGAACCATGAGATCACGACCTGAGCCGAAGTCAAAAGCTGGATGCTCAACTGACTGAGCCCCCCAGGAGCCCCAGCTTTGAGAATTTCTGAATTGCTTTAGGAGCACCCAGCAGTGAGGAGGGTGGCTGGGCGGGTCAGCGCTGGATGCGGCCGGCGCAGCGTGGCTGGAAAATGGGGAGGGTGGAAAGGAGGCTCCTAGGGGACGGAGGCCAGGATGGAGGCCAGGAGGGACCACCGCTGCCCCAAGCGATGGCCGCGAGGGAGAGGCGGCTGAGAGTCGCGGTGTAGGGACAGCGTGTTGGCAGCGCATCTGGGTCCCCGCACCCGGGCGCTGGTGGACATCAAGGGCGCTGCTCCCGGCTCACCGTGACTCACTCCTCCGCACCCGTGGCTCCTGTAGACACCAAAGATCTGGCTGCCCCATCGACCAGTCCTAAGGACGCAGGCTTCAGCAGGCTCGCCGTCGCCTCTTCAGGTCTGGGCTGCCTGTCTTAGCGCATTGTGGGCGCATGTCCGCGGGCTCCCCAGGTGACCGGCGCCGGGGGCACATGCTGCGGCTGGTGGACTCTCTCCCACTGCAGAGTCTATTTTGGTTCCACGGCGATCTCGGAGGTTGGCGGAGGCTGGGTCCGGCTGTCAGCCCCGATCTGCACTCGAGTGGCCCCAGGACCCGGCCCCTGGGACAGAGCCAAGCAGACGCCCGGGGGCCGGGTGGCAGGACGGGCACCCGCCCCCACGGTGTTTACCCAGCGGCTCCCGCCAGTGGCCAGGGCAGAGTCCGCTGCTGCCCGCCGACGCCTCGGCCGCTGCAGACGGACGGCGTGGAGCCCGCCTCCGCCCCTCCCAGCCCTTCCGGGAATTGTTTGCTTGTTTCAGAGAAATCCCAAGTCTCCCCCACACGGAGCGACGTGGAAATCTGGTTTCACTGAGCGACAGGACAGCGCAGCTAGAATTCCTGCTCTAAGGGGGGTTTACGTGGTGCGCTAATGCCGTCAGCAGCCAGGCGTGTCCCTCCATCTTGTCCTGAGCAGAATAACGGGGACAGCTGGGCTTTCGTACCCCCCACACCCGAGCCTGTCTGCACCCGTGCCTTCCCCCACCCCCACCCCCGCCCCCCGGCGCCAGTGACCGCAAACAGCGCCCCAAACCCACATGTCGAGGGCAGGAGGCGTGGGGACGGCGGCCCCGGCCCCTGCCACCCCCACCCCAGGCATGTGTGGGCTGCTTGGGTGTTCACGCTAGAACCCCTCTCGGGTGAGGGGCCGCTGTCGCACACGACACTGCGGAGCAGCTCCAGCCGTCGCTGTGACTCGAGCGGTACTTCCCCTTGTCAGTCTCACCCGGAAGCAACAGAGTGAGATACGGAGCACCCTTCCAGAAACACGGACCGGACACATTCTCCGGAGCACTTACGAAACAAACACTGCTTGCTACCCCTTCACAAACGGGGATCTCACTTCGCACCGGGGAAAATTATGCACATTACCGGGCGCCACAGACGCCCCTGAGGCCCTGAAGGTATTGGTGCACATTTCTGTGCCTCTTTTCCAGGGCTCTGCTTTGGGTGACAGAGAGGGGAGTCCCTGTCCGCCCCTGCGCACCCTCTGCCCCGTCCCTCCTTCTCGGGGTGCCACCACCCTTGTGCAGGGAAGCAGAGGGGTGAACTCACCTCTGCTCCAGTTTCCCACCCCCAGCCCTTCTAGCCGGTAGAGGACGTTCTGGCCCAGGGCACAGCCGTCGGCAATTCAGTGTTTATGGATGTCATAAACGAGCCATGCAGAACGCGACTGCTTCCCTTATAAGCCAGGAGCACGGTCAAGATACATGATTAACAGTGAGCTCACCTTGCTTCTTAAAGGGACAGGTGCCCTTGCCAGCGTCTGTCCTACAGAGTAATCACTCACGTTTATCAGCGGCCAGAGGGGCGCTTCCCCACGACTCGTGGTGACCTTGAGTCATGCTTTTGCCTCCTATTAGCCTTCAGGTGTAACGGAAAGCAGGTGGGCAGAAGGACCCGGATGGCCCCGCGTGAGACTCCGGAACGTATCTCGCCTGCAGGGTCGTTAAGGACCCATGGCACCTTGGGGGCAGGAATAGGGTGCAGCTTTTCCCCTTCCGGTTTCCGAGAGGGGGCTTCATATTCTGCAGAGTTTCATTTGATCCCAGATGTCTGGATTCGATTTCTCTCTCTCTCCCCTTCTTTCCTCCTTTTTTGCAAGATGCTTCACCTGTGAGGGGAGCTGCCCCTGGGGCAGGGAGCAGTGCAGCTTTACTTCATTGTTTTATAGATTGCAGCAACCGCAACGATCCGTACTGAGTTCTTACTACCGTCCGGGCCCTGTTCTAAGTGGCTTGCACACATCGGTCATTTAATCCTCTGAGTGCCTTAGGTGGCCGGGCGATGCAGCGAGAAGCCTGGCTCTACATGGCCAAACTCATCGTGGCCCCCCTTCCCCCAGTCATACTTCCGTTTAGGGCTGCAGAGATGGGGCGGGAGGGCACCTACCCACGGGGAAAAGGTACTCTGCACACATTCCTCCTCTCCCAGAAACACCCTCTCCCTGTGCTTTTGAAGAAGAAGGGTGTGAGCACGACATTCTAGTGAGGAGGCTCCGGAGGAATTTGAATTTGGCAACTAGCAGTGGGGTGTACACGTTGGTGGGACTCTGTTCGCTAGATGATACCCTGAGCACATCAAAACAACACAATGGGATTAGTTTCTGGAAGAATTCTTTTTTTTTTTCTTTTTTTTTTTATTTATTTCTAGGAGAGAGAGAGAGACAGCGTGAGCAGGGGAGGGTCAGAGAGAGAGGGAGTCACAGACTGAAACAGGCTCCAGGCTCTGAGCTGGCAGTCAGCACAGAGCCCGACGCGGGGCTCGAACCCACGAACCGCGAGATCATGACCTAAGCGAAAGTTGGACGCTTAACCGACTAAGCCACCCTGGCGCCCCAGTTTCTGGAAGAATTCTGCAGGAGAGACTCTGAGCCAATAAACTCATTGATTATAGTACAAAGGACAAGACTTTGCAAAAATCTATTAAAGATTATAAAGACTGGCAACTAAAGGTTTTGCTCCATCTGTGGACTTGGATGCGTCGCACACAGTTGCAGAGGCTGTAGCGAAAGGAATGGAAAATGGCTAACTTACTACTTGTAATAACCAAAGGTGGGAAGCAACATCAATGTCCACCGATGGGGGACTAGTTGGATAAACTATGGTGCATCCCCGCAGCTGTGCTGCTAGAGAAGAAAGGAAGAAGGCTCCTAAGTTCTTCTGTGGAGTTAGCTTACCGTGCGGGGTGGTAGAATGCGGAAAGCTGCAGGCTCACGGGGTTGAGGGTTCAGAGGGCAGAGCCCGGGTTCATCAGAGAGAAAGTGGAAATGAAAGGGATAAAGCTCAAAGAAGGAAGTTTGTGGTTGGCGTGGCCAGTTCTGTAAGAACTCTCCTGTTCCTTCCCTAATCTATCTCTGAATTGCACATTTATGTGCCTAGTTGGGCGATAGAGCTTAGCAGACATATCAGTGCTGCCAACCACATGGCAGACAAAGCTTGGAGTCTGAGTCCAGTTAACTTAGAGGGCTCTGACAAACACCTCAGGCTTCTCCCTCTCCCTCTCTCTCAAAATAGATAAATCAACTTAAAAAACCAAAAAGCCAAAGTGATCACTCAATAATTTAGCTGCCAGTTAGAACAAAAATGAACACTCTTCAGAGGAAGATAACAAAATCCAGAGTCTCTGCAATGTACTATTCATAATGTAAATCTACACTAAAAAAGAGACATGTGAGGAAACAGGAAAATGTATTATGGAGTCAAGAAAAAAATTTACCCCATAGAAACCCTAGATGATTCAGGTGCTGACATTAGCAGACCGAACACTTAATGAAGCAATTATAGGTATGTTAGAGGACTGTAAGAAAACGACACTAGTAAATAATAAACAGATGGAGGATCTCAAGACAGTTATCTACAACTAGGAATCCTATTAAGATTGTAGAATTTAAAAGCATATCCCAAGAATATAGCAGTTTGAGTAAACAGAAGAGTCAGGAAAACTGAGGACAGATGAACAGAAATTATGCGACCCGAAGAGCAGAAAGAAAAGACTTTAAAAAATAACAGAGCCAACCACCTGCAGGATAATAGCAGACTTCTAACATATGTGAAATTAGAATCGCAGAAGGAAAGGTGAGATTGGATGCTGTGTAAAATACGTTTAAAGAAATAAAAGTGAAAATTTCACGAATTTGGAGACAACACGAGTTTACAGACCATGGATACTGAATAAATACCAAGTAGGACAAACAAATAAACAAACAAAACACCAAGGCAGGTACATTCTAATCAAACTGCTGGAATCCAAAGATAAAGGTAAAACACCTGAAAAGCAGCCACGGGGGAAAAAAGGGACACATTCTTTGCAGGGGAATAATGATCATGTAAAAGCTGATTTCTCATCAGAAACGATGAAAGCAGAAAAAAAAGGAACCAACTTCCTTAAACTTCTTTCAAAATACAAAACCAAAACCAAACCACGAATGCAGAATTTATACCCTGAGAAACCATCTTTCAACATGAAGGCAAAATAAAAATGTCTGGATAAACAAAAGCCAAGAGAATCAGTCACTAGCAGTTCTTCACTGCCAGAGATGCTAAAAGAAAACAGAAATTCTTCAGGCTGAAGGCCTATGGCACCAGTGAGAAGCTGGAATCTACGGGGATCAATAAAAGCACCAGACATAACACATATGTAGGTGACCATAAATTATCTTTGGGGCGCCTGGGTGGCTTAGTCGGTTAAGCGTCCGACTTTCGCTTAGGTCATGATCTCGCGGTTCGTGGGTTCGAGCCCCGTGTCGGGCTCTGTGCTGACTGCCAGCTCAGAGCCTGGAGCCTGTTTCAGAGTCTGTGTCTCCCTCTCTCTCTGACCCTCCCCTGCTCAACTGTCTCTCTCTCTCTCTCCTAGAAATAAATAAAAATATTAAAAAAAAATTATCTTTAGGGGTGACTGGCAGGCTCAGTTGGAGGAGTATGCAATTCTTAATGTTATTTTATTCTTGAGAGAGAGAGAGAGAGAGAGAGAGAAAGCATGAGCGGGGGGGAAGAGAGAGAGGGAGACACAGAATCCGAAGCAGCTCCAGGTTCTGAGCTGTCAGCACGGGGCTCGAGCCCACCGACCACAAGATCATGATCTGAGCCGAAGTTGGACACATAACTGACTGAGCCCCCCAGGATCCCCACACAGTTCTTACTTTTTATGGGAAGCAGTAAGACATTAACTCTAAATAGACTAAAAAGTTAAGGAGAATTTAAAAATGGGCAAAAGATCTGAAAAGACACTTCACGAAAAGAAGACATGTGGGTGGCAAATAAACACAGGAAGAGATGCTCCACATCCTATGTTCGGGAAGTGCGAACTCACACAGCAATGCGAGAGCGCCGCACACCCATGAGAGCGGTGAACGTCTGGACCGCCGACGACACCAAGTGCTGGTGAGGACGTGTGGCAACAGGAGCCCTCGTTCACGGCTGGCGGGACGCAGGGCGGGCAGTTCGGAGGGCAACTGGCGGCTTCTCACCGGGTGAGATGCCCTCTTAGCAAACGATCCAGCCATCGTGCTCCTGGGTATTTGCCCAAAGGAGTCGCACACTTACTTCCACACAAAACCTTCACGCAGATATTTAGGGCCACCCTGTTCATAATCGCCAAGACTCTGAGGCAACCATGACGGCAAGTGGATAAATAAACTAGAGAGCA